TCTCCCTATACAGAGAAGAAGTGTGGCAACCACTAACGGCATCTAATGAAGATCAAGGGAAAAATTAGTTCTTTCTCACACATTTTTTCAATGCTGGTAGAAAAGGCCATCTTATTTGTGGTTTTTATTAAGAGCATATACATGCATATTTTTAGCACAGCTACTTTCTGCCTTCTGACCCGTTGCACCGCTCAGACACAGAGCCCTATGTTCAGACAAACTTTCACTGTTCTTCTGGGCAGAGAGCATCAGAGAAACTCATGTTTCTGTCTTGTATTAATGTGAGCACAACTAATTTTAGTTAGCAAATAAATACAGAAATTACCATCAAGACGGGGATATTTTTTGTTCACTTAGTTTGGAGCATGCTGGCAAAGAATGTCCTTTAGGATCATTTCAGATTTTTTAATGTATATCTGTGGTTTTCTTTCTTTTTTAATATTAGCAAAGGAAGGCAGGACTGAGCATGAGTCATAAAGGGAGTAAAAAAAGAGAGCACCAAATTTTCAGAAGCAATTCTTGATGATAAATGCGCAGCTTGTAATCACTGATTACTGACTTTCAGGACTCAAAATGCAGAATCCCCAAATCACTAGCTGCTGTATTTCTGGATACTGTTTCCTGCTTTATCTGCATTACCAAAGACAAATTACACAGGACAAGATCCAGAGAGAAACCCTAAACCCCTGGCCCTAGCAGGGTGTTGCAGGGCGTCAGCAGAAAGCCTGTGATTTGCCCTTGCAGCGGTCAGTGAGGAAAGCTGCCAATGCTAGGAACGTGCAAGCCAAAAGATTAATGCTGATGAGTTTAGGCATATTAAGAGCTGTACAGGATCTTTCTGAACTCCTTTTCATCCCACAGGCACATAAGTCTGGCTAAATACCGTTTTACACCTCAAGGGAGGCTCTTCAAGACTCTCCACTGAGCCCAGCCCCTGAACTCTGACTGCTTTCAGTTGGATTTGGTGCTTGTGAACCAGGCATCAGTTCCCAGTAAGAGGATAGATAATTTAGCTAAGTGACCTCATAGAGCTTATCACTGTTAGCATGGTATAGGGAAAGCGGTGACTCGTGTCCTGCCTGCTCTGCCTTGGAGCACGTCTGTACTGAGCAGGGGACTGGGGCCCCTAGTTGGAGCGCTCATCCATGAGGACAAAGTCTAGCTGACTACCCCTAGCAGTGAGCTGTGCAATAACAGTTACATTCTGCAATATTAGCTGTGGTTTCATATACAAAATATTTATATTGCTTTTTCTGAATTGTTAATGAAGTGTCTACACAACTTTGGCTGGTAATGCCTGAGAGAAATATTCTGCTTGCAGACACCTTGACATGTATGTCACGTAATAGTCTTCTCCTTTTTTTTTTTCATTGCTAAAAGCAATTTCCAACAGAAATCTTGCTTTTGAGCAGTTTGTCTGTGCATGCTGTTCATATATGAAGTCGTAATCCCCAGCTTTTGACTGAGGTCCATAAAGATCACCATCCTGGTTTAACACAGATCCCTGGAGCTCAGGCTCTAATTCTGTTGTTGCTATTGCAAAAGCCAGTTAGATCAGATGAGACTCCAATAGCAAGTGGAGAACAAGCAGCAGGAGCTGCTAATCTGTTAGAAATCAAATACTGTACCTTGTCATACATGATTATGAATTTGTGGTATTTTACATTGCATGTGCTACACTTGAATTTCTGGGACTGCAGGCCTAGTTTATCATTGCATTGAACTTCATCTTGACATATTCAGGGAATGCAAATGCTATTGTCCAGGCTGGCTTTAAGCTCACATATAACTGTCTGGGACACCAAAGCATTGGGCTTTCTGCAAGGGTGTTCATCCTAAGGATGGTGCTACTGTGCTAGACTTGAAGGCCTGGTAAGCCCATGCTGGCTAGGCTTGCTTTTAAGACTTTGCCTTGCTGAGCTGTACACACCTCGCAGCAGTTATATCTGTGTTTATATGTAACTCTGTGATTTTTTTTTTACTGTGTGTTGCAGTCCTAAACACCTCACAAACAAGAGCTACTGTAGGACTTGGTTTGAAGACCGTGGTAGAGAACATACTGGTCCAGTTTGGATTCCTGTAGGAAAGTGATCTCAGTCTAGTAACATATTGCCAGAGACCTCTCAGTTTCTATGTGTACCTCATCTCTGCCTGTTCGAGCCAGGGAGCAATTAATGGATCTGTTGAGTGCTTCGTTATGCTAGTGAATGGTTTAGAGAGCTTTTACAGTGGCATTTTAATGCCTATAATGAGGTTTTAGGTGCAGAAACAGCAACTCCTTTGCTGTGCAGAACACCTTCTCTTGGTCCCCTCTCATGGAAATTTTGTCTTCTGTTCCTCCTTGTTTTCTGCAATGTAGTCTGAAAAGAAATGACTTGTGGTGTTCAGTAATAAACTACTGAAGAAGAAATACAAGCAAAAATAGATAGCACTTTTGATACTATAAAAGCAGAAAATGTGCAAATTAAAATATTGTAGTGTTATATAAGAGCTCAGCAAACTGGTCTTGTCTGTTCATTATTCAAAAGATTAATCCATTTAAGAGAGAAACTTTTAAATTTTAATTTTAAACGCTCATTTCTCGGAGTAACTTGTTTGCTCCAGCAACAACATTAAACTGTGTGGTTTTGTCACTTCTCAGGATATTTTATTCCATGGAGTACATACCATTATTGGCAGGTACATGAAGGACAATTTCCCTCCTTCTTGTGAATACTTGTCTGCTTCATGGCTTTTCTTCAGGGATGTCCTCTGGGTCTTTTATCTGCTCCCTCCATTTGCACATGAATTGGTGCTAATCACATACACCAGTGACTGGCAATTTTTGTTTGCTAGAATACATTTTTTACACTACAGGAGCAACTGCTGGTGGTGGTACACTGTGATCTGCACAACCAGAGTGTGACCCTATAGCCTGAGGTGACCTTATGGTCTGAGACTATAGGAAACAAATTCTCCAGGAATGTGATGCTATCTCTGAGCCTGAGGACTTTCACAAAGATCCCCGGTAAAATATCAGTGGTGGGAGAGCAAATCTGCAGCTGAACATGGAGCAATGACTTACAAACTATGAATATCCACTAAACCTGAGTGCAAAAATGAAGTTCTCAGTCATCTTTTCCATGGCAATGTCAAGTATGCTTTTGATAAATAAAAAATGCATGGTATAAAAGAATCGAGTCCTGCAAAACAGTAAACAACCTTGAAAACTTTCCGTTTATCTGTCATTCTTGAAGTCCTGAGGCAGGCTATTAAAGCTTCTAGAAATATTAATGCTGAATCTCTGTAAAGTGTGTGCAATGTCTGTGCATGGAGACAGAACATTGATTCAGGCAACATTAAAACCATTTTCCAAAAAACAAGGTCAAAAGCCTTTAAAAAAGGATAATTTTTTTTCTCTTTCATTTAAGCAGGCAAGGACATGATTTAGCTAACACTCTGACATGGATGCCTTATCCAAACCAAAAACTGCACCACTTCATGTTGAAACATAGCAAGAATGAATGTGTTCGTTCTTAATTATATTTTTACTTCCTTCTGGGTTGCTTTTTTATTATTATTATTATTTCTAGGATATAATCCCATGTCTAGTAAAGGAGAGCACCACTTGTGCGAGGTCTCTCTTACCCAGCTGTAATTAAGCTGTTGCCTCTGGGACAAAGATAGGAATTATAAGGTGATACATCTGGGAGGTTCAGACCACCCCTTTCCATGCAGACACATATACAGGTGCTACACAAGAAACACCAGAGTGGTTCAGCGAGCAAAACCGGCTGAGCAGTCTCAAGGGTTTTACTATGGACTGTCTACAGGAGGGTCTGAGTCAAAAATCAAATGAAGTCAATAGGGCTTTTCATTTTCCTTCAGCAAAGATTAAAGCAGGTATAGGGTATCTTCTTGACCTCCTCTTCTTAGCAGATATCTGGTTTGGGGGCATTATGGGGGCAATCTTAGGCTTTCTCTGTGAGGCAGGGGTGAACAGCACTACAGGCCAAAACACCTTCTCTTTGGTACCAGCTGTCTGCAGCTCTCAGTGCTCTATGAGAGAGGAAATGAATCTATACATTTTGGTAACGTAACCAGTAGGTTAGGATAGCATGGTGTAAAATTAAAATTAATTTCTGGCTATTTGGCTCAGCTACATTTGCTGCTTAGATGAAGTCAATAAAAGCCATGTAAGAATGTGGAAATTATGACCCTGATACCACAGGTTATCCATGGAGCTGAAAATAACTTCATTTTGTCCACTACCTGATGTTACATTATGTGGAGTGTTATAAAAGATAAGGAATGAGAAGGCTTCTGTCCTACTGGCCTATAAATAAAATGTTTGTGTGTTAGGGCAGGATAGGTTTTTTGGCCTCGGTATGATAAAATTATACAGACTAGCCCCAGTAGACTGTGTTATCACAGATGTGCAGTGGCACTGAGGCAACTTAACCCATCAGAAGGAACAGATGAGCAATAGTCTTGCAAAAAATGTAAAATTTGTGAAATAAGATGTTAAATATGCTTTATATCTCTACAGCCCACACTAGATGTATCAGATGCACATATGTGCATACATGCACACGTTCCACCCTGAGGTTCAAAGCAGGTCATTCCTTCTAATAGAAGTATTAAATCCAATGTCTTAAATACCTCTGTAATTTTACTTTCTCCTGGCATTTTCAAAAACTCTTGCTTTTTACTTAATTTTCCCACTGATAGGAGCGAGACTTGCAAATTTGAAACAGTTTTTATATGTTTTTCCCTGAGCTTGCACCAAGGTAAGAGTGGAGTCTTTGTTATTTTACACTAGATTCTCATGTACAGCAGAGAGGAGGAGGAAGGACACATCTACATTTATACATTATACATAACATGTTTTGTTGCAACCCTGTTCTTAAGCTCCAATCCTCTACACCAAGGCCTGCAAATTAAAACTGCCTAACATGAGCAACTACAATAATGCAGTTCAATGATCCTCTAATGATCCTCTGTAATTTCACAACGTTCAAGAAGTCATGAACCTGAGCCTACTGAGAACACAGCTGGAGTTTCTAAGTAAGGGATCTCCTCAGGGCAGAAGGTAAGTTAAAGAATATTGCCTTTTTCCCAACCAAGAACATTTTTTAGCAAATGGAATATTTTTGCTAATGGTAAAAGATACAAGGAAAATTAGTCATTGCTAAATTGGCTTTAATTAAATATAACTCAAATGCTTGCCAAACTGACCTGACTAAAAGAAGGAATAAACCAAGTAACAGACCACCCTTTGTTCACTGCTACTGATCCAGCATGTAGCTATCTAATGTGGCACCGCATGTGCTCAGAGCTGTGAACTCATTCACTCAAAGTAATTTACTTGGTTATAGAAAAAACTTGTAGAATTAACAAATGACTCCTTCTTTCTTTTTCCTCTGTTCAACACCACTAGCACAGCCCTTTGTGCACAGATAAGTGCTACTTGACTTGAAATGTAAATACCATCTCACAGCTGCCTGTACCCAGGCAATTTGCCATTAAGTGAAGCATGCCAAAGCAAAGATTTCAGCGTAAGGCAGCAGTAACTTTTTGCAGTGCGAGGGAGAAACATGTCGGAGCCCCGTTGAACGTCAGTATGTTCAGTGCTACCACTAGCGGGGGGTAGTACCCACACCCGTGCTTCACGGTGCCCAAGCTGATGTGCAATGCAGAGTAAAAACTTTGAACAGCCAACTTCAGAGGATTTGTCATGGGTTTAAACTGCATAGCAATTACATAACCATCGGCCTTGAAGGAATTTTTTTTTAAAGTATACCTTCCCCTCTAGTTACCAGGATTTAATTATTAAACCCGAGTTTCATTAACTTGGTGATTCCCATCACTTACACTGTGCGTCTAAACTTGCTAACAAAATTTCTTAACTGCCAGAAGAAAAGCTGATACTGCAACTAAGAGCTGACTGCAAACATAACAGGGCAAATATTGATTCGTGCATGTTGGTAAAAATCATAAGAATTTAAAAAATGCACATTTTAAAAAGGTGGGACTGCACTGGATTTTAATGACAGTAATGTCAGTAACAAAATCTGCATGCAATTTATGCAACCAAACCTTTACAATAAGCTGCAACCAAAAACCTGTATCTGATTGTCCCTTTAAGAGTGAAGATTTTAATATTGACATTGGAGCACAAACATTTCCCACAGAAATTACATTTTCTTCATATTTTTGTTTATAAATTCCAGGGTATCTGGTTAAAAGGATATCCTCCCTCCAAATAATAGACAGTGTCTAAATATTTGCCTGTCTCTGAAAGAAACACAGTATCTATCAGCATAAAAGATTCACTTCCACTAAATACAACATGCTCTTTAAAAGCTCTGTAATGCCAAATCCTTTCCCAAAACATCGCAGTTGTCAATAATGCTATATACATCGTCATTTCTCTTAGCAGTGAAATACTGAACTTACCCCACTTGGCTCTTTCGGTTGTAGATTTGTCAGCATAAGGAGGCTTTTGTTTTTAACATGTGGTTGAGTATTTTGTAGCCTGCATGCTGTTATGTACAGTATTATTTCTAATAATGGTAATGCTTTCATCTGTCAGGCTAGTGGCTTTATCAATGCCATTGCGAAACAGAAAATGCTTTCTTCCACTGATACTTCAGAAAATGCTGTGTTTCTGGTACCTAAGGTAATTTTAAGCTGTGGGACATTTGAAGAGCTTTGGAAATTGTGCCTTTCTTGCTTAGAGCATAACATTAAAAGTTCTTTCATGCATTGTAGTGGACTGTTACAGTCCTTAAGATAATGTTATGCCTCACGTTACGCACTAGGAATGAGACATTACATTTCCTGTTCAGCTGCAAGTTTCGCTGATCCCAGTATATGTGTTCTGAATAACATTTCTATTTGTCCTTGAATCTAGATTATTTCATGTCTGTAAGAGTATCAAACTGTGCTGCATCAAGCAAGCAAAGGGCATAACGATCCTAAATACTTAACAATTAACATTAAGCAAAAACACAACCATATGTTTATTTTCCTTGCACTCATTATTAAAAGAAAAATCAATTATCCTGTTAATTTTATTATTCAGCCGATAAGAAAGAAAAGTCAGACACACCATGTACAAGTGAGAGGGCTATACACAAACATGCCAGCTTCTGTTTGCTCTTGTAGCCAAAGCTGAGCTCTACAAACATTCGGGAGCACCTCACCACCGATGAGTACGTGGCTTGCTAACACCCTGTGGCTGTGAGGGAAGAGGCCGGGGCAGCATGCCTGCTGAGCTGACAGATTTGAGCTCTTCTTCACTGCCAGCTCCAGATGCCCTTTGGTAATGATGGGCCCCTGCCTGAATTCACCGTTTGGTCACAAAGTGGAGGTTGAAGCAGGGGAGTGGAGATCCTTCCAGCAGGGTAAGGACCCTGCAAGGAAAGCCAGGTTCAACCAACCTTTCATACGGGTGTTCAATTCCTTGTGTACTGTTCACCTTCTCACCTTCATTAACCTGTTTGGTTGGTACAGACTACACAGTGCATTCTGAGCCAGACAATTCCATGTCTGTAGGAAGTGCCTACCATGGTACAGCCTCACTCATTACTTGGGTTGCTAGACATAGCAGCAGTAATAAGAGCAGCAACCTGTTACTGGACGTGTAGTATGAACTGATACAGAAGACATCCTGCACCGTGTACACTGAGAAAGATGCAGCAGCAGCAGGGTCTTTAATTCTGTTGAAGGAAGGTGCATGTGCTCTATTGATACTCTTCTCTGATATTCTGGACCGTACTCATTCATTAGCATTCAGGTCTCCTGCTTGTAGAGAATGGCTGAATGAAAGACATGTTTCTTCTTTTAATCTTCTTGCTGCTAACGTGCAGAAATTAGGGTTCTCATGTACATATTTTGCGTGGCAGAAGAGATAAGAACCAGCAGATAAAGTTCAAAACGTCAGTGCAACGAGGTTCAACCTGTCCTCCATTTGAGTAAGGGACTTACCAAGAACAGGGAGGAGAACGGAGCGCAGCTGGCTTTCCAGATAACGTTCTTAACCTTATAGGACCTTTCAAAATATACTGCAAACATGCCATGGATTATTTCTTTCTCTCTTTCTCATGTTTACTTCATTTTTTATTCTGACAGAGAGGGGATGATATCACCGACTGACATGCCTTCCTATTTAGGACTATTGCAAAAATTAGGAAGTTTGAGGGCGTTGGAAGGGTGTAGAAGCTATGGCTGATCTCTGTATATCGGAGTTCTTCCCATTGCAAGCCAGTCATAATGGTGTCTCTATATCTTTCTGACAGCAGAGACTGGTCCATTTCCTGTGACAATAATCTCCTGGAACAGGGCAGGAAAAAACAAACCTCAAAGAGGTGCTGCTGTCCTGTTACTTACCTTTCTCCCTTGGGTTGACTTACTCTCTCTGGAGAGCATGGAGATTGCAGGTGTGTCCCTGAGAGCAGTTGTGTTAGAAAGCAGGAGGGTCCTTGCCCCCATTAACTGTGTTGGCTGTTCCCCAGACAGTCTGGCCCTCAGGATAGAGAACCTCACAAATATGATTTTGTAAGTGAGCAGCTCACTTTTGTGTTGATACTGCACTGCAAAATATTCCAAAGCAACACTGCAGAACTTAAAACTGGGTGTTCTAAGGCAGGTTTAGTGGCAATAGATCCTATCTAACAGTCAAACCAAATTCAATGCCACCATTGCCTTAGTCAGAACTGGATAAGAGTGGAATGCTGAGTAGATGTTGGAATATTTTTTTATTTTTTTAATTAAATGATTGACTTGTCCTTTTGAAGTTACAGGAGACAGTTATTTTTTTTAAAGATTGCATCAACATTTGTGAATATATTTGAGACAAGGATCACTACTTGAAAAGGTAAACCATCAATTTGTGCAGCAACTGTATTTTAAGTCAACTGACCACGTGTTTATCAAGTGTGAGTGCACTGGCGTATTTCCACATCGTGATAGTACCTGTTATGCCAGAGACTGAAACACTAGAAGTATATCAGGGAAGTTTACAACATGAAATTGCTCATACCTTAATAGTTGTGTAGGGAGTTGCACCAAAAAATAGATGTCGCTGCATAAAATTTGAGTTCCTCTCTTGACATCATCTACATGCCGGCTATGTGCCTTTTGCATTTACTACTAAGTTATAAAGACTTTTAAAAGACAATCATAATTGCAGGCAAGACTGGAAAAAAAATCCATCACAGTCTTTTCCTTTTAGTGACTTCTGGATCATTTTTTTCCAGTCAAGCTGACATTTAAATTTTAAAGAGCACTTTGTTCAAATTCACCAAGGTATGAAATGGCTGTCTTGCAAGGAACAAAAATAGCTTAGCACATCTGTCAATAGAGAAACAAGGGTTTCTATTATAAAAACTTGTCTTTTATTTTATTTGGATGTTGACCTCTCTTGTGCGATCTCACACTTCTTAGTTAACTAGATTCTCAGAAACTTATCATGCTGACTCAGTGCTGGAAATTGCTAACAGCTCTTATACCTGCAACCTGATATTGGATTTACCTGGCAATTGACTCGGACTTTATATCATCTGTGCAGTTAATTAAATTTTAGTGTTTCGCACTAGCAAGGCTAAACTGGGAAAACTATGTGAAGTTCAGCTCCCCAGTGCAAAACAGAGATGGACAGACTGCAGACTTAGCACAGATCCACTAAGATTAGGGGACCAGCACAAATTAAGAGACCTGGAGTTGTTGAGAAGAGGCTATGGGGAGACTCGTTGTCTTCTGTGACTAATGGGGAGATACAGAAAAGAGCCAGACTCTTCTCAGAGGTGCACAGGGAAAGGAGAGGAGGCAATGGTCTCAGGCTGCTGCAAGAGAAATTCTGGTTGAATAGAAAGAAAAAAAAAAATCCCTGTGAGTGTTGTGAAGCACTGGAATAGGTTGTTCAAAGAGGCTGTGGAACTTCTGCTCTTGGAGATTTTTCAGGTCATGACTGGACATGGACCTGAACAACATAGTCTAACTTTCGATTTAGTCCTCCTTTGAGTGTGAGGTTGGCTTAGATCTGTGATTCTAATAGCTACATGGGTGAAACACTCTCTTCATACACCG